ACACACAGAGAGAGAGAGAGATGTGGGGAAGGGGAGTTCAAATGTATAAACAGGCTAACCCATGGATTTTTTGCTAGGTGGAAGGGGGAATTAAAGAGGATGAGAGAAAATGAGAGAGTATGCATGTTTATTTGTTTTTTCATACCAAGTATATCTTGATTACTTGCTGGAGGCACAGGTGACCAAGAATAACATGTAATTGTATGGTATACCAGTACTGTTATATATAAGGCCCTTAAGTAAAAGAGAGATGTAAAACCTTAAGAAACTGGATAGTCTTCGAACCAGGGGAAACACAGCCACCAAGATGTGATCTGTAAAGTGTTATTCTGCAGAACTATGCACAGAAAACCAGGGTGTAAACTATTACCAACAAAAGAAAATTTGGATGAGTTGTGTATGTATCACTCAGCTATTCATGGGAGACATACTGCTGTGAGCCGGCCTCCATCAGCCAGTTTAAGTTAATTTTCCAGTTTAGACTGGTCAATCACTACTCAAGAGTACATTTATTTGCTGGGGTGATTCTAGAATTACTTTACAGTCAATTGCTCTAGGACAGTCCCACTGTTAATCATAACCATCAACTGAAAAGTCACAAAATGTTTAAAATCCCTACCGCATGCAATATAGGACCCACTTGAGAACAGACACATTGCAGCTTCTATCCAAAGCCTTACATTACTGACAGTACATGAACCCTTCAATGATACCACTTTTTTATTTACTTTTCTTTTCAGTCAGAGAAATCAAGTTCATTTAAATGTGGGACATTTGGAGCCTCGAGTTTGCAGCAAAGGAATTTTGCCACAGGTGCATTTGATGGCAAGTTACAAATATGGTAAATATTTGCCTACCAGCTTATATATATATATATATATATATATATATATATATATATATATATATATATATATATATGTCTTTTTGTTTATTTGTTTGCAGATTATCATTTTCATACAAAAATTGAAAATATTTTGTTCTCTTTTGAGCTACCAGTATTGAATTGCATCAGCACCTTTTGATAACTTAGGGACGGAAATGTATTTTTCAAATGAATGAGAAAAAAGTTTACATTTTATCAACAGAACTATCTACACAAGTTGATAAAAACTGTTTACTTGGCATGTATAAGTACTTTTAGTCCACATTTTTGTTTAATGTTTAAGGATAAGGTATTTCACAACCAACTGAAAATTAACATTATTTTATAACTCAGAATGGAAGGCATTAGGACTGTATATATTATTTAGTTATTATTTTTCAAGGGATTTGGAGTCAATGCAGATTCCAATATATTCTGTGAAAGGCCATAAAGAGATCATAAATGATATAGATGGTGTTGGAGGTTTAGGCATTGGGGAGGGTGCTCCTGAAATAGTCACTGGAAGTAGAGATGGTGAGTTCATTGTTTTAATATCTTTTTATTTTCCTCAAACTTATTTTCTTCAAACTTATTTGAGTGAATCAAAGCCCCAAGATTTAGTAAACCACCAAGAGGTCATTGTAACTAATACCCCGTTCACACTACAGTTGCCAAAATGCGCATTTCTATAATTCGGATTTTTCGTAAGGAATCCGATTCGGTATTGCGTTCACACTCGCTGAGCGAATCCGAATCCCACGTTGAAAATTTCAGGTTTAACTTCCTGTTTTGAACACTCGCACATGCGCCTCACAGGAAATCTTAAAATATCAACAAAAATTTGTGACGACAAATGCAACTCAAAAGACATTCCAGCATTCTTGAGAAGTATAAGGTGGCAAAATAAGTTTGTTTCCTCATGTTGTAGTGAGTGGTGACCTCCAAATACGTTTGGTGCAATCGCTAAAGTAATAAACCAGCGTTCATAGATACCCGCACTTATCTGCACACATGCGCAGTAAGTTCTGTTCAGGTGTCAATTCCGGTAAGTTATCCGGATCGCGCTTAGAAATCCACCTCGCTTGCAGGATTTTGAAAATGCGCATTTTCAAAATCCTCTTGCGTTCACACTACTGCATTTATTCGAATTGTGACCAAATTCGCAACTTATCCGGATAACTGAGCGTAGTGTGAACGGGGTATAACAAAGTATTGGCCATTTGCTGAAGAAATTGGTCATCCAGATAACGACTGGACAGTTCCCTGGGGAACCTAACATTGTTTATCTAAATAATTTGTATTTATATACAATTTATATACAATTTGTATTTATGTTGCTCTTAAAGCACACACTGAAATAGGCTAATAACACCTTCTCTCAATCAGTGTTTATCATGTTCCATATTGTGCAGCTGAAAGTGTGGGACTCTGAGCAAAAGAAAGATCTGCAACTACCATGATTTTAGCACTTTTTGAGTGTAAAACCACTCGGATCAGATATCTACATGTAGATCGCATTACGCAGTCTATGTCTGCATTATATTCCAGGAAGCGTGAAAGTGTGGGACCCCAGGCAGAAGAATGATCCTGTGGCAGCGATGGAACCTGGAGAAGGTGAAGATAAGAGAGACTGCTGGACAGTGGCTTTTGGTAGGTTGAACCAGAACCACATCAAAATTGCCAGTACTTCATATTTCATTAATATATCATTTATCTGGTTGAAAATTAATTTATCTGAATGTCTTTAACAAATATATACCTGTGTGATTTTTAAAATATGTGTATATAACAGGGATGCAAAAAAGGATACTGATTAAAATGACTGTCACATACATGCACATATGCACACACAAAACAAACAATACAAACAAGGGTATAGTTGAAATATATATTATTTTGTTATAAGTTTCATTTGGTATATTTTGCAAAGGTACAGAATAAAGTGTATTGCACAGACGGTTTTGTTAATTTCCCCACCTTCTATGTGTTCATATAGGACCATTAGCTGCTGGGCATTATGAATAAACAAACCTGAATGCACAGTATTTAGTTTACATGGGTTGTATAATCATAAGCTGTGTTTTTAGGGCAAATTTAAAACAGTGTGTGCACCTGTGAAAGACTATCTTCATAACAAGAGCCATCTATATTTTTTTCTTTTCTCTCCTTTATAGGTCATGCTTACAACCAACATGACCGTTGTGTCTGTGCAGGCTATGACAATGGTGACATCAAACTCTTTGATCTGAGAAATATGTCACTGCGATGGGAAACAAATATAAAAAATGGGGTATGCTTCATTTTGTTTTTCAATCTGAATGTCAGTAGTAGTAGTAGTAGTAGTAGCAGTAGTTGAAGTAGTAGCCAGTGGTAATAGTACATGTAGTTACTGGAGAAGTAGTGGCAGTAGTAGTATGTTTTGAACTTTTTTGTTTTGTGTTACAGGCATATAGTAACTTCTTTTCCAATGAATTTCATGCATTGATTTTTTTAGGTGTGCTGTGTTGAGTTTGATAGAAAGGACATTAGTATGAACAAGTTAGTTGCCACCACTCTGGAGTCCAAGTTCCATGTATTTGATATGAGGACTCAACATCCAACAAAAGGGTTTGCATCTCTCACAGAAAAGGTGTGTATCTGAGACATTCAGGGAAATATCATACCTTAGATGACTAGAATTTTAAAGAATATTTAAGCCTTCAAATATTCTATAAAAGGTAAAAATAAACTCTCAAGCCAAGGATGTATTTTTTAAGATGAGCAGTATCGTTTTCATGTATTTTTTTCTGTCTCTTTGCTTGTCCAGGCACACAAATCCACTGTGTGGAATGTGAGGCATCTCCCTCAGAACCGAGATATCTTCATGACCACTGGTGGAACTGGAACACTTTGCTTATGGAAATAGTAAGTCACAGTCCAAGTGAATAGTATCAATGTTTATCTGGGATATAGACTTGTTTAATCTGCAAAATGGTAGATGCATTATAAAATAATAAGATCCACAAGAGAACTCATTTTTATTATTTTGATGATCATAAACCCTGTCTGTTACCTTAATTAAGTTTTAATGAACACTTTAATTTGAAAAAATTGTAACATCTGCAAGTGCACCTATGGAAATGTATGCATTAAACTGCCCTGATCATCCTGCATTGTATTGCACTTCAAAAGTGATTTTAACAATATAACAGGCTTATTTATTAAACGTTTGTTTTGGTTTTTTTTAAAATAAAATCTGTATTTTCTCAAAATTTTCCAGTAACTACCCAGACAAAAGAGTGACCCAGGACTCGGACAAAGTGGACATGGGAGTGGCAGGGACAGTATCCCTCTTACAAAATGTGACTATGTCCACACAACCTATAGCATCACTGGATTGGAGCCCAGACAAACAGGGACTCTGTGTCTGTACAGCCTTTGATCAAGTCCTTCGGGTTGTCATAGTAACAAAACTGAACAGGCATCTCTGATGACAATCCTATATGTGCTGTTGATTTGATATACTCTCAGCTATCAGATGATGGGAATTGTGGAAAGAATCTTTTTGTTGAGTTGACCTTTTCAACCAGTGGATCTGTAAACACACACACACACACACACACACACACACTGTTGTTGACCAGTTCTCTAACTCAGAATTATCAGTTACTGTGATAACTTCAGGAAAATCCAGTATAAGAGCAGAAGGCTTAGACATAGAAGACGCTCTTAATGTGTCCTGCAGTGATCTTATCTTAGTAAACAGCTTGTTAAAAAGTCTGCCTGGGAGAAGAGGTGAACTGAGAATTGCAGGAGAATTAAAATGCCCAATTGGTGATCAAGGGGTGGTAACAAATTTATCCCACTCCCAATCCCTTCTTTATGTCTTTAGTCTGCTAGTGTTGGATGATCTCAAGTTTATATCCTGTACCAGATGTAGTTTAAAATAAAGTCGGTTCTGAATATATACTTATCATATATCAATATCAAATATGAAGAACAGTGATGTCAAATTTGAAGAGTTTTATTCAAAACATTTTCTGCCTTTTAAAGAACCAATATTATTCTCACAGAAAGCAAAGTGTAGCCTTTAAAATTAATTGATTGAAGTTACATATAAAGCAAGCATGGTTTCCTAATAATGCATTGCTACTTGTTTATCATACCACTAAAGTAAAGTGGACATGCGAGGGATAAACTAATTCCTGGTTCAGCCAAAAAAATAACTTTAGAACTGCACATTCTCAGTATTTTTGGTCGGAAGTTGACACATTTTCCTTTTCCTCCAGTTCATAATTGTCTGCTAAATGACACAGTGTTGCAACCGCATTGCACAAGCAATTGTTCAATGTATGAATGCATTAAATGGATGAAGCTGCGCATACAATTATATACTCATTCAAATGAGTTGCCGAAAATGACCGAGGGTTATTTATAGCACAGAAAGAACGTGGAAAATATTCTTTCAAACATTCTTCAGGATATTTGAAACAATGTCCTTTCTCTAAGAGGGCATTCAGAACAGATAATCCATGGACTCAATGATCCGCCAACTAAATATAAGGCCGGCTCCCTTCCAAGCAAGCCGCATAATCCTCTGGTGGTCTCCATTCCTCCACACACGCCTTTAAACAGATTAAATCTCGATTTAATTGGTTTAATTGCTATTCCCCTGCATGTGTGGAGGCAGGGAGACCATCAGGGGATTAGAGTCATTACTTTTAAGTGTGCTGGACATATGCAGCCAGTCAGGGCCGTAGCCTCCGGGGGGGCAGGGGGGCAGTTGCCCCCCCCTGGGATTTGAGGTGCAAAAAAAAAAAAAAAAAAAAAAAATCGCAAAGGAAAAAAAAAAAAATTGTAAAGTTGGTATCAATTCTGTGAGAAAATGTACTCATGGCCACTAAACAATCATTCAACACTCTGTTTACAAAGGGGAACTGTTTTTAGCCAACCCAGTTCATGCCAAAAAGCT